TGGGTCCTTTCATTTGTCATGCAGCTTCTCTAAATCCTAGCCTGATGTTGGGATAGCCACAACAACAGTGAGAGGAATAAAAGCTGTTATAATGAAGGCAGTGCACTGATTAAATGCCCGGAGAGAATTAGAGTATGGCAATTTTGTCTCAAAAAAGTGAGTGGCAGTCTAGTTGGTACCATTCTGGAGGTATCTCTCAGCTTTTAGTGTTCTCTGCATTTGCAGAGAGATCTGGACGTGGGTACTGTGTAGAACTATATAAGCACATAAAATTTTTTAAACTAGGGTCCACCAAGAGAAAATATGAATTAGAATTCATTGATCTTATCTCATGTGATCTTGGAAGCCTGAGGACAGGATGATCTGAGCTTGCAGAGCTGAGGAGGATTCATAGCAGGGGGTTGAACTGGGCAACTTTGGCTAATTTGAGTGTGAAGATCAATATGCAGGTCTACTGAGACCAGACCCCAGGGTACATGGGGGTCAAGAGCATGTATCGAAAATTCTTGATCCGCTTGGTCTAGATGCATATATTCTATACAATGTGGGTCATTATACCAGGTGGGCAAGATTAGATAACCCTGAAGCCCAGATTCTCTGTGCTCAGTGTCATCAGCAGTTTGCCAGCATTGTGCCAGAGCAGAGGTGGAGTGCCAGACATCAGCTTTTCTGGTGAGATGGGAATTAATTAACTAACATCCCCTCTGGAGCCTTGCAAGGATGGTCCTGAGTTGCATGCGGCACTCTAGTCCTAGCCTTTGACCGAATATATGGCCAGATGACAGCAGCCAGGTCTAGCTGTGCTTCTGCCCTCTCCAGATACCCCCCGCCTGAGGTGCTCCCTGCGTGTTACTGCTGGAAGGCATCCCCCTTCCACTCTGATTTTTAGAGAAGAGTGCCAGTTACTATGTTTATTCCAGTTTCAGTTTGTTGGAATAGGGTCACAGGATCTAGTGTTGACTATTTCTTGGAGATCCATGGCTGTGATGGAGTAGCAAGCTTTCTCCCTCTGTTTTTGGATATCTTTTATCAACAAAAGAATACATTATCTAATTTGTAGCTCTATTCATGACATTTCCACATTGAAAAGGGACCACATTAGGCCTTTTAAAATCTTTCTGTGAGTTCAGAATCTAATTCTAAAAGAGTTGACGAGTTCGTCCTGTTAGCAAACATCAGACATTCCTTGTCTGCAACCACCAGGTTTTCACTTGATACTATATTAGGCAGCTTGTGGACATCATTGATTCAATGAGCCAAACTTTCTATGTGCCTCCTGTGTCAAATCAGGACACACATTCTTAGAATGGTTTGGAGAACAACATCTCTTTGAAGTATGTGGCCTGGATTTTGAGGCCATATTGCTATTGTATTTCTCATCTCTGAAAAGATCTGTTTGTTTAGTTTAGCTTTTGTCTTACATGGTTTTCTAATTTGCTATGTAATACACACAGGAAATTTAGTATTGCAAGAAGCATAGAACTTATATGGATTTTGAATTATATAGTTTCATGTCAAATAAGACAAAAATTTATATTCAATAGGCATGAAACACAGAACCAAAACCTTTATAATAGATAACATGAACTAACTTGTATATATCTGTGAGAACATTTTATATAGTCTCTGGTATTTCCAATTTAATGAAAAGCAGTCTTATTATAAGAGACTTCTTTTGCACTTCCTCAATACTCTCATGCACCAATGGTATGCAACCCAACAGTACAACCAATATGGAGGGGAAATTGGCAATATCCAGAAAAATCATAGGTTTATTTGCTCTTTGATTTAGTAATCCTATTTCTAATAAGCTACCCTAAAGGTACAGCTACAATGCCATGTAACACATGTACAGACTCATTAATTGTAACACTATTTGTAATGGCAAAAGCCCAGAAACAAGCCTAAAGTCGCACTTTTCAGTAGGGAGTGAGCCAAAAAAGTTATGAAGTTGCCCCACAATGAAATATCTGCAATCATAAGAGAAAATGAAAAAGATGTCTGCATGATGATAGGTTGGGACCACCGGGGTACATTAAGTGAAAAAAGCAAGGCACAGATCACAGTATAAAGCAAGCCACATTCTGTAAAATAAAAGGGAGAAAAAATATTTATATATATATATATATGTATTTCTTATATTTGCAGAAACAGACATTAGCAGGATGAGCTGAAAACAAAGAAAAATGTATTACTATAAATGCACTGGTAATGAGAGTAGAAGGGCTGAGATGAAAGCCAGATTTTCTGAGATTTTCTTTTTATATAGTTCTTTCTTTTTAAACCAAATGTTTTACATATTCAAAATGTAATATATAGCTAAAACTAAATAAAAAAGCATTTTAAAATTTCAAGTTATTTTGTTAATAACAGGGGTTGTTGTTGCACAAAGTCCTCATTTTGAAAGTTGATTGTTGAGGAAAAAGAATTAAGCATTTATGTCACTTGCTTGTACAAACTCTATTTCAGAATAATCATACAGCTCTCATCAATGAAAGAAAGCTCTTCTTTTAGAAAAATATCAGATAGTATTGTGGAATTAATGATAGAATTTAGGAATTATCATTTTTCACCCTATGAAATAATTGATCTACTGATTAATGCTAAAATAATTGAGTGAAAGATTGAAAGAAAACTGCACATTCATAGGGGCGAAGCATTAACACCACTTGCTGGTACTTGTGCAGTAGCACACCACAGGGCAAACGCAGGACCAGACAGTGGCCCCTGAAACCAGTAGTCAGGGTTATCATCGTCAATGGGGATGTGTTATCTAATTCCCAACAGCCAGATTAGGCTCACCCCTACATACGATGCATAAAGTACATAGCATCATCTACCAAGTATTCTTGCCAAAAATGTTTAAGTCTCATCAAGTGCTAAGGTCTAATTACCAGTTTACATGAAACACAGGGGACAGAGGAACATGTTAAACAAGAGCAGGGAGAAGCAATCAGACTGAGGCAGAAGGTGCAGGTTCTCTTTTACAAGTAAATCTTGGAAAAAAGTAAAGAAGTTGTGATAGGAACCATTCTCCTTACTTTAAAGCTTGAAATAATTTTGGTTTAGACAAATAAATCCTAAAACATATTTTGAAAGGAATTAAATATGGACTAATATTAAATGGTATTAAAGAATTGTTAATTTTATCAGGAGTGATCCATGGTATTATGATTAGGTAGGAAAATATCTTTTTTTCAGAGACACAGCCTGAGATATTTAAGGGAACAATGCCATGTTGTCTGCAATTTATTTAAAATAACTCAAAAATATATAAAACAAATTGAATAAAATGTTAGTCTTTAAATCTACATAATGAGTATATGGTGGGGTGGATCAATATTTTATTTCTACTATTATGAGCATTGAATATTTTTTACTTAATAAAAAGCTAAAAAAAAAAAAGTAAAATTGAAAGAAAGAACAGCAATTGGCACGACTTCCCTGGCCTCCTTCCTCTTCCTGATGGCCCAGAGAGAGTGACAGCTGGAGAACCTGTCTTGAATTCATAAGAAGAAACCACAAGCGGGTGGAGTCACGCCAGCTCTGGATCACCACTACTAAAATAATTATGATAACTAGTCATAACTAAGCAATTGGGGAAACATTTAAAAATGTTTAAGTGTTGTGATTTGCAGAATATATTGAGATAGGATTTACACTCTAAACCTCAGAAGTCCTACTTTCCCTCCTATATCTTCGAGACTAAATCTTAGACCTTACGGGACATGCAAAAGTAGGGGCCAATGAACAATTCGCTGCAACATTCGGAGCTTTGTTAATTCCTAACTAAAGTCACCAAAGCATTTCTTTGATTTATCTCACTAATGATCAATTGAACTGCCTCTGTGTAGGTGGTTTATATAATAAAATAGGAATGAAGCTGCCCTGAGGACTCAGGCAGTGGTAAAACTTTACACAAATATCTTTTCCCAACAGTAAATCTTACCAATACTAAGGAAGGGGTAATTGTCATAACCAGAAGTATCTGCATATAAGAAAGCTGTTTTAAAAAACCATGAATAAAGTATTAATACATGTATAAACTATCCTCTTGGCAGGATCCTGATTGGCATAAATTTCTAGGCACAGTTTCTAATAAATGGCAAAAATGATAGCTAAATATTTAATTTGCTTGAGAATTATTCTCAAGACTATTATTATAAGATCACTTATTTGGCACTATAAAAATTTTATATTTTAACAAGTGTTTGATGTGTCTGACATGCAGTAAGTTAATAGCACCCAACTCTCTAACCACCCACCTCATGTTTCATGTTGGCGTTGCTTCATGAGTCCTTGTGTGGAAAAATATTCTGGGCAATGGCTATTCATTAATGTAAGTAAACATTAGATTGCAGGGAGAGTAGGCTTCCCATTAAAACTCGTTATTATCAGATCCTAAAAGCAATGATTAAAACCTGAGCAGGACCCTGTTCTGGCAGAGCTGCAAACACATGTGCTGCGTGCAGCGCCTCCCGCGCCTTCGGAGCCCGCCCTCGCCACGCGCCCGCCGCCGCCGGCCCGACCGCGCCCGCCGCGCCGCCGCCCGCCGCCCCGCCCCGCGCCCCGCCGCTCGGCGCCCACCCGCCCGCCCCGCCCCCCGCCCGCCCCGCCCGCCCGCCTCGGCACCACACCGCCCCGCCCGCCCCGCCCGCCGCGCTCCGGCGCACCGCCGCCGCACGCCCCGGCGCCACCGCCGCCCGCGCCTCGGCGCCACCGCGCCCCGCGCTCGCGCCACCCGCCCCGCCCCGCTCGCGGCCGCCCCGCCCCCCGCCTCGGCACGCGCCCCCGCGCCTCGGCGCCCCAACGCCCCCCGCCTCGGCCACCCGCCGCCCCCGCCTCGCGCCAGCCGCCGCGCCCCGCGCTCGGGCCGCCGCCCGCCCGGCCCCGCGCCGCGGCGCCACACCGCCCCGCTCCCACGCCCGCCCGCCGCCGGCGCACACCCGCCGCCGCCCGCCTCAGGCGCCCCGCCCGCCCGGCCGCCTCGGGCCACCCACCCGCCCCGCCGCGGCCCTTCCCAGGCTCGCTGCGGTCCTGGCGCTCAGAGCCTCTCGGCCGTTGAAAGCGGCCATCCCGACGATCTGGCACCAACGTGGCATCACTTGGGGTCTCAGAGTCTCGCGCGCGTCACCCAACCTCTCCCGGCCCAGGCGGTGCTCGCTGTGGCGGCGCATCGGACCCTCACCGCAGTCAGAACCCTGAGGACAGTGGCGGGGCCTGCGGCCACGCGCCGAATCGGTGTCCATCACATGTTGCTGTCTGTTCAATTTTACTTTAATCTACTCGCTAAATAATGCATCCGCCACAGAACTGAGGCTGCAGACGGGACTAGAAGCGGGTTAGAAGGGAAAGTCAAATCAGAAATGGAGAAGGGGTCGAGGAGAGCACGTGTAGATTGAAAATAAGCTTTTTCTTTTTGAATTGATTTGCATTTAGTCGCAGTATTTTTATTTTCAAATAACATTAAAGAAAAACATAAAATGTCTGTGTCTCATACAGAGGGAACTTGAGAAAAAAGGCATTGTCCCTGTCAAAAGTAATGTTAACAGAAATGTGTGCACTATTATGTGTTTATTTCACTTTATTTTAGTTAAATGATACATTTACTCACTTGTAACTAACATTTGCTGTCTTTCCCCCATTTCACAATAATTAATTATTGTAACTAAAAATTATATCTATTTTACTTAGCTGTTTTTGGTAGTATTTAAAAGTGAATATAAAATTTCTGGACAAAATAGAAACAGACACATGGGCTGGTACAGGAACAGACACAAAACTGTTAATGGTCCCAAGATTTTCACCGAGTCCCTCTTCCATGGTGAGATTTCAGGCATGACACTGCTTTGGGCCAGTATAAATTTTGACAACATATATTTGAAGTTCTTCCTAATAAATCAAACTGTTTCTCATTTATGGTGCCAAATATATTTTAGACTCATTTCTATCCATAGTTGTTAAAAATTGAGTTCCACGCCTTGGGGATGGTGTTAGAAAGTCCATGTTAAGAAAAATAAGTGGAACATAATGAATTTTTCCTGAAGTGAATTTTATTCATTTTAAAGACTGTCCTTTATTATAATGGCATTTTCTTCCTTCTTTCTAATGTTGAAATAAATTCTTCCTTTATGAAACAATAGTGACAGTAGATGGTAAGTGTTGTGATGTGTGCGTAATGATTTTAATTTAGCCAAATAAAAAAGAGGCAAACCTGTATTTCTTTACCCATTTATTTTTCCTACCAGGGAGAACTGATTTTATTCATACTGGAAATCCAAGAGTCTGAGACCAACTGCTCCATATTCTGTTCTGTGCTTCAAATGTTGTTATTTAGGAAGTGACTGAATTAGATCAGAGCCAGGGTAGAAAATGATAGGGTTTCAGGGATGCTTTTCACATCGTGAACTTCTTGATACCAATAGTTTGTTCTTTACCTAAAAAGATATGTCTAAATTGAAAAGACCAGAGCTTCTGAGTAAATTTAGAAAGCATTTCCTCATCCACACAAAGAGGTTTTAAGAGTCTATGTTTCTTTGGGGTTCTTCACTATGACTCCAAAGTAATCATTTTCAAAATACTAGTTTTTCTTTTATTAGAGAATCTGAGGTCTGCTACAACCCAGCTGCAAACACAAGACAGAAGGGAGAAAACCCTGACGATGTGAAACAATGCTTAATTATTTCAACATATACAATTAATCATTTATACACACTTATAAGCAGAGAGCTGGGATGATGGTGTCTACTAGAAAAAAAATCTAATTAAATACTACTCAGTTTCTTCACTTTTAGTAAAATTTCATCATTACCCTTTCTATTACCTGTTACCTCTCCACTCTAGCCCCCTCTTTAGGTTTATTTATTTATTTATTATTTTTGATACAGGGGTTTGCTCTGTTGCCTAGGCTCGAGTGCAGTGGCCTCGTCATAGCTCACAGCAACCTCAAACCTCATACTTCTGGGCTCAAGCCATCCTCCGGTATCAGCCTCCCGAGTAGCTGGGACCACAGGTGCGCATTGCCATGCCCGCCAGCATTCTCATCGTGTCACAGAGACAGCGTCTCCCTGTTTGCCTGGCCTCACGTGGTCCTGCCGCCTCATCCGCCCCACGTGCGGGGAATGTAGGCGCCAGCTCTGTGCAACTTTTGGTTTGCAGTCCTGACAATTCTTTAAATCTGCGGTCTCAACGCCTGGGAGGCCGGGCGCCGCCCCCTCCGCCGGGCTCCGGCCCGCGCCCCCCGCCTGGCCAGGCTCCCGCCCACGCCCCCTGCGCCCCCTGGGTCCCCTCCTGCGCTCCGCCGCCGCCGCGCCCCCGGTCCCCGCTGGCGGCTCCCGCCGCGCCCCCGCCTGCCGGCTCCGCCCGCTGCCCCGGGTCCCCGCCTGGGCCGGGCTCCCGCCCGCGCCCCGCGCCGGTCCCCCCTGGCCGGTCCCGCCCGCGCCCCGCCCCGGGTCCCCCGCCTGGCGGCTCCCCGCCTCGCCCCCGCGCCCCCGGGTCCCCGCCTGGCCGGGCTCCGCCGCGCCCGCCGCGGCCCCGGTCCCGCCTGGCCGGCTCCGTCCGCGCCCCCCGCCCCCCGCCCGGTCCCCGCCTGGCCGGGCTCCCCCCGGCCCCCGCGCCCCGCGGCCCGCCTGGCAGCGGCCGCGCGCCCCGCGCCCCCGGTCCCCGCCTGCCGGGCTCCCGCCGCGCCCCGCGCCCGCGGTCCCCGCCTGGCCGGGCTCCCGCCCGCGCCCCCGCGCCCCTGGGTCCCCCCTGCCGGGCCCCGCGCGCCCCCGCCCCTGGTCCCGCCTGGCGGGCTCCGCCACGCCCCTGCGCCCCCTGGGTCCCCGCCTGGCCGGGCTCCGCCCATCCCCTGGCCCCCTGGGTCCCCGCTGCCGGCTCCCGCCGCGCCCCGCGCCCGCGGGCCCCCGCCTGGCCGGCTCGGCCCGCGCCCCCCGCGCCCCCGGGTCCCCCCTGGCAGCTCCGGCCCGCGCCCCCCGGCCCCCGGTCCCCGCCTGGCCGGTCCGCACCGCGCCCCGCGCCCCCGGTCCCCGCTGGCCGCTCCGCCCGCGACCCCGCCCGCTCGGCGGCGTCTCCGGGAAACCGCGTCCGCGCCAAACAGGTTGGGGGCCTGGAAGTGATCTAACTGGAAAAAAATCTTGTTATTTTTAAGGACAGAGGGTTTCTATACTTTGCTTTTATTTTTAAATATGGAACGAATATCGACGTAAGCTCCCGCATCGATCGCTGTTTCCGGAGTCTGCAGAGCGCGCCGTCTGGGCGCTCCGAGGACGCCCGACACGGCTCGCAGACGCCCGGCCGCCCGCCCGCCCGCGCAAAACAGCCCTCGTGAAAGGGCGGCGGGGTCAGGGCCTGCCAGCACTCCTCCGCCCCGCAAGACGCCGCCGCGGCCGCGCCGCCAGTCTCGCCCGCCGTCCTCTTCCGCCGCCGCGCCCGACTCCGGCCCTGCGGCCCGGCCCGGCCTCCTGGTCGCGGGCCGTGCCCGCGGACTGTCCGAGCCCGTCGGAGCCCGTCGCGGGCGGCCGCGCAGGTGGCGCGGGAGGGGCGCGTCCGGCGGCGCGCGGTCGCCCGGGGCTGGCGTGTCCCAGGGGCGCGGGCGTCCGGCGGGGCGGGCGTCGAGGCGGGGGGGTCTGGGGCGGGGCGGGGGCGGACGGGCGTCCGGGCGCGGCGCCAGGCCACCGGCCCAGGCGTGGCCCGAGCCCCGGCGGCTTCTGCGGGCAGACGCGGGCGCAGCTGCGCGGCTCAGTCGTGGGCACCGCGGTTCCTCGGCCCAGATCCAGCCTCCGAGTCGCCGCGCGGCCGAGCGGGCGGCGCTGCGGGACCCAGCGCGGGCGGAGCCGGTGCCCGCGGCCCTGAGAGCCGCCGCCGACCGACGCCCCAGGCACCGCGCTCCGCGCACGGCCGCCCGCCGGCCCGCCTCGCCCTCCGAGCGGCCCCGCGGTGCGCCCGACTCTGTTCTCGGGACCTCCGCCCGCGGCCCCGGGGCCCCCATGCTCTGGTCATGGCTGGCGGGGCTCGGGGCTGCAGTGGCCTTCCTGCACTTTGCGCAGAAACTCCTGTTCCCTTACTTTTGGGACGACTTCCGTTTCCTGGCGAAGGTGGTGCGCAATGGCATTCAGGTGGGGCTGTGCCAGCGGAGGGGGCAGCTGCTCACCGTGCTGGACGCCTTCCTGAGCCATGCCAAGAGGCAGCCCCGGAAACCTTTCATCATCTACGAAGGCGTCGTCCACACCTACCAGGATGTGGACCGGAGGAGTAGCAGAGTGGCCCGTGTCTTCCTGAACCATTCCTCTCTGGAAAAGGGGGACACGGTGGCTCTTCTGATGAGCAACGAGCCAGACTTCGTCCACGTGTGGTTCGGCCTGGCCAAGCTGGGCTGCGTGGTGGCCTTCCTCAACTCCAACGTCCGCTCCCACGCCCTCCTGAGCTGCATCCGCACCTGCGGGCCCAAGGCCCTGGTGGTGGGCGCAGGTAGAGTATGGGCTGTGGTCTGCGTGTGCGGAACCGCGCCCGGCTGCTTTTCTGGCCTCTTTTTTCTTTAGAGTCGATCATAACTAATACTTTGGGTGTGTGATCGAGTCTGTATGTTAAGGGCACAAAATAGTTTTGCGATTTATGACAGGGAGTTTAACACCCGCCTCCCTTTTCAAGCACGTTCTCTGTTGTGGATTAGTAATATCACACAGTTTCAGAAAACTTTTGTGAACTTTCTGCTTCCTACCATTTTGAGGGTGGGCGGTTTTACTGTTATTGGTACCTTCAGTGAATGCAAGAACATGGAGAGATAGAACTTGTTCAGTTCCAAATTTTATGAGCTCTGACAAAATGTTTGGTGAGTAGGAAGTTATCTTGACTGCATTGTGGAATACTTACATAGCTCACATTGTAGCTTTATCAAGGGTGACTACATTTACAGAACAGGAATGTTCAATCAGAAGCGCCTGAATTCCTGTCTTCACGTCTGCTCTTATTTGACACTGTCCGCACGCTAGGATTTGCTAGCGAGGTCGGGCTCCCGCCCCGGAGCCAGTAGGCAGGCTCTTGGCAGACGCTAGCGCCTTTCTGTCTTCCCCTGCCCCCATCTGTGCATCATTTTCTTTCTCTCAGTAAGTTCTGCCCTTCCTCTTCCCCCACTTTGGATAGGATGTCATTAGATACAAATATTTATGCAGAACTATGAAGAAAAGTCTTTGACTTAGTGCTGAATTAACAAAGAGCCTAGGAAGATGGGTTGCTTAACAAGACGGAATGGAAATGTGAAAAATGATATTTATTTGAGATAATCTAAAAGGTTTGTGCAGATTCACTATGCATGGGGGTGTGAAGGTACAGGAAGAGGAGGATCCATGGCAAGGACCTTAGTGAAAATATGGAAGTAGTTTAGATTAATAAATACATATTGATCCCTCATCTAGTGCTGCTGCATTCACAGAGTGATATGGAAAAATACATTTACACACTGGTTGTCTCTAAAAGTATAGAACTTTCTAGGTAACCATTGTCATATAATATCGGCACGTCGCACAAAAATGGAGTAAGTGATGTACAGACAAAAGGCTAACCCCTCAAGGCTGTCACTCTTCCTAGTTCTCAGCACCCTTCCAGCTCAACTTGTGGCCTGATAAAGTGGCAAATGTTTGCTCTGAAACATTAATTTTATCTTATTTAGGCCACAGGAATAGAAGGTTCAGAGTGTTTCTTGTGTATTGTTTGTTCATTTTTACCACCTGTGCAGGGGCCAAAGTGTGAATTCTGAAGGAAAAATGATCACCATTCATTCTGGATAGACTCTCACAGCATGCCCCACTGCCCACGTGCTTGCTCTGTTTAACTAGATTGATGAATCTCTGGAGCAAGTGCAAACTCCAAATTATGCTCAAAATTGATGAAGCCTTAAATTTCCTTTACAGCAAACTAAGAGGGCCACAATATCCCTGAAAATATTTCTGTGGCCATGATGTTGAAGCCAAGCTGAGAAACATCCCAAGCCAGTCTCCTGAGGGATGCCTCTTAAAGTGCGCGGAGCTCCTTGCCTCTCAACATCCCGTTCAGACTTGGCTGTTGACTGAATTGTTGCTTATTTAGGACTAATTAATCTTGCAGCTTTACTTGTGCCAGCTTTGCTTTGCTTGCCAGTAACTAATTGCATTGTTTCCTTGTATTTGTTATTAACACCAGCAGTCAGTTTTTGTACATAAAAAAAGGCACTTTGGGATGCTGGAGTTTTATGCCAAGACCGGTTAGACAGTTGGTTCAGTAAGTAGGTCGCTGGAGAAATCAACCATAAATTTACTAACCATTCTTTTTGACATTCTTCCAAAACATGAAGTACATATGTTTTGTAAAGATGGTATAATTCTATTTTGATTAATTAATAGATTTTTTGATGAGATGTAGTCACTTTTCATAGTCACTTTTCTGCATTTAAAGCTCTTACCCTAAATACTGTATTCTCAGCATCTTGAGTCTGACCAGGGAACTTTATATATATTATTTTTAGGACTTTAAATTTCTGCATTCTTCGATTCTCACTGGATGTTTCTGTTGGAGATGTACTATTCAATCCTTATATCTCCAGAGAGAGTATATTGAGGTATAAAGAGGAATCAAGTGGTTTACACAGAGATAAGCTGATCTGAATTTCATGTATGGTCTGCCACTCCCTAGCTGTGTCATTTAAAATAACATCATCAGCTACTCTGAGCCTCACTTTTTATTTAGTTGTCAAATGGTGATACTGTTGTCTACTTGACAGTGTAATTCTGAGGATTAAATGATGTAGCTTATACAGTGGCTAGCTGAGTGCCTGATTTGTACTAATTATATCCTTAGTGAATTAAAATAGTTGCTATTAACATTATGATTATAGAGTCATACCAGGACTTGTAATAAGAGATTTCATTTGGATTTTGCTGCTACAACCCAATTCTGTAAGAAAGACTATTATATACACTCTTGTATCACTTAACATTGTGATACAATGTTATCATTGTATTGTTAGATCTAAGAGAAATGCATTTTTATTATTTCATTGTGTGAACATCAAGAGTGGACTTACACAAACCTAGATGGTGTACCTACTACACCTAGGCCACATAGTATGGCCTATTGCTCCGAGGCTACAAACTGGTACAGCATGTTACTCTACTGAATACTATAGGCGCTTGGGAAACAGCAGTAAGTATTTGTGTATTTAAATGTATCTAAACATGGAAAAGGCATAATAAAATACAATATTATAATCTTATGGGCCTACCATCATATATGCCTTCCATCACTGAACAAAATGCCGCTATCGCTAACCGGGCTAGCAGTCCATTAATGGCGGAAGCAGGACGCAAGCCCATGTGTGTCTGGCACCACAGTGTGCATTTCTCACACTCAGCCTTGCCGCCTCTCTGAGCAGGCACAGTCTCCCTTTCAATTGTTTTTGCTTCTGCCAGTATTCAAGCGTCACTCCCTTACAGTGAATACATGTTCGGCAGGTGTTAGAAATAAGAACTCCAGGCCCAGTGTCCCCATGGTCAATAAAGGAAAAAGATGGATGCATCAGTGTTTAGAGCACCGCCATTCCCAGCTACTGAGCTATGAAGCTGTTGAAATTTCCTGTTAAAGCCAATTGTTTTATTATGGGATGGAGGTAATCCTTGAGCTATCTGAGTCTAAGATGGAAAAAAATGCAAAATAGCTATTCTACAAATACAACTAAAAATTTAGAAGTGTCCTAAAAAGTAAAATAGATACAATGTAAGGATATCTTAGTATATAGGTAAGATAATAAAAGTTCACATGAGCCATTTTAAAAATCTATATGAATACATAATGCTTTCTATAAAACTTTTTTTAAAGGGTCTTTATTTTCCTCAAACTCTTCCTCTTGTCCTTGAAGAGCAGTTGCCTTTATGGTTGAAATCATTTGGAGAATTGCGGTGGCTTGATTATTAACCAGATCATTTGCCCTGCATTGTCTGAATGCAACAGTTCCTGAAAACTAACAGCTCAAGGCTGCATGCATTATTCTGTGTTTCTAGAGAAGGAGTGGGACTTTTACTTTTGTGTGAAGAGAAACCCCAAATCCTTCAAAGGAGGTTGAACCATAAAACACTATCAAATCTAAAGTAAAAGAGTTCAAGGGAATATGAATGTTGTTTTTTAGCTATCTATTCATAGTTATAATGATGTAATATGTTACATACTAGCAAAGGAGAGAGTGAAATGCGTACTACATGCATGTAAATCTGAAACTTCATGGATGCCTAGTTTGTAGCATTTTGGGAGTGGTGGCTCTAATGCTTAGCAACGTTGATATCGACACAACAAAGAAATCCCATGCTTATCTCTATCCTCAAAACCAGTTACCAAATGGACACTAGAGGTGGACATTTATTAGCAAAATATGCAAGTAAGTTAGAAGTTACCAAGTACTCATATGTACCTGATAGTTTTTTGTTAGGTCTTTCTTTCACTCATTCATTTAGAAAATAAATATTTATTGAATATGTCCTTTGTCCTAAGTCCTGAGAATTTCACCGTGAACAAAACAAACTTCCTCAACTCTAAGAGCCTGCAGTCTAGATCTTGACCTGTTCCTCAAGCCTGTGCCAATATCTGTCTGCGAATCGTCTAAGAGAACTGTATGATTCTCTCAGGTTGCTGTAAATAGCCGTAGTGTACCTGAGGCAGGTGAGTTCAGAGGACGAGATACTGAGAGAAGATAGATAGAGAGAAGGTTAGAGAAAAAAGGAAACGGATGGGGAAACAAAGGGGAATAGTGAGGGGATGGGAGAAGATGGAGACGATGGAATGAACAGGAGCAGAAAGGAGGACACAGTCAAAGTGAAACAGCAGATTTTTAGATTTAGCATCAGAAAATCTGGACTCCAGTCTCCATACTGCCTTGCCTAGATGTATGAGCTTGAGTGGTTTTTTGCCCATTATAACCATGCTTTCCTCATCCTTAAAGTAAGGCTAATTATCTACCTCTCATGGCTGTAGTGAGGATCACAAAAATAATGTGTAAAAACAGTTTGTAATCTATAAAGTACTTTAAAATGAAAGGGATTATTGTTTATCATAATCATTATTTTGGATAAAAATGTCAAAGGTTATACAGCTGCTTGCATATAATTTTTAAATGATATACAAGCACTCCAACATTTTTCTATTTGTACTAAGAAAAGCATAGATCAGTAGATGATAATCTTGGCAGCAGACATTATTGGAAATATTAGAGATGAAAAATTGAGGGGAAAAGTCTAAGTTTAATCTAAAACACCTTAATTTTCAATGAGTGCTAAAGTTTTCAGGGAAATTTGAGATGTCACTTGATACATCTTCTAACCCAAAATATATAGATATTAGGCTTCTTTGCAAGTATTTTTGAGTCTGCAGACCATGTGGGTGGGTAATAATAGTTTTATTAAAATTTTGATTTTTTTTCCTAATTATCTATGTATGAAAAACCTGATGGC